TAGTGTTGCATGTACTAAAGTGTTATCTCTTGATAATATTATTGGTTTTTCTTTTGTTTTTACTCTCCGTTCATTTTAACCTGCCCTGCTAAATGCAATAAGCAAGTATAATGAAATTGTGTTTCACAATCATCTCAGTTAAAATGATAGCTTTTAGTCTTGAATTGAATTTCCCAAGCTTGCAAATGAGTTTTCCATTGTTTATGTTGCTTTGAGCACTCATCTGACAGTTTCTTCATTTTAGGCATGATCAGATGACTTTCCAGAAAAACTAAAACCGTGTTAGTTAAATTAGTGACTGACATAATCTGAGTTTCCCAAATTTCTTAGAAATTCACTGAAAGTGGCAAAAGAAAATGAGCTGTTAGTTTTGCTTTTTGTGGTCGTGCTGACATCACAAAATATCAGAGAACCCTCAGTGACATTTCCTTTGAGCTGCAGATTACTATTAGCTTTTGCCATCAGTGTGCTTGGAATTGTAAAAATGTAAGGAGCCAATTCTATACTAGCTAGCAGATGATGAAATAGAGTGTTATTAATAAAGTATATATCTTTTCCTTCCTATGAATTCATAATGATCTTATTTTCTGCTATTGTCTATTCAACAAATTGACATCAGTTTTTCATGCGTCTGTCCTGTTATTGATCATAAATTTTGTCATAACATTGTCAAACTAGCTGTGGATTGATGAGGTGATAGCTGAGTGGATCCGCAGACTACTTTGACAAAGTTATGACAAAATTCATTGTCAACAACAGGACAGATGTACGAAAAACTGACGTGGATTTGTTTTTTTTACAATTATAATAAATTATCAAATTGTCCACTCTCGGTTGTTGCGTCAACATCACATAAATTATAAATTCGTGCGTCTGTACACCTATTGGCAATGAAAATTAGCCAATGAGCTCACAGGAATTTCTGCAGTTATTGTAAAAGGCTGCTGTATAATTTTGTTGCGTATATTGATTTCCAGGAACATTACAAACTCCTTATGTTGCTTTTATTAATGGAATAACAATGGGAGGAGTAAGTAAACGTGAATATTTCAGTTGTCACAATTTTTCTAAACAATTTTGTAAAGCTAAAAGTTATCAAAAACTGTTGCTCTTGTCACTATTAAATAAATATCTATATTTCCCTGGTAGATTCTTCCCGAAGTCTTTTAGTGTTGGATGACAGAGCAAAAGAATATCAGAATTTAACAGGGACTTCATTTTTTTCAGGATTTATGGATTTATTTATTGATGCCTTTTTACCTGATATGTATTTAACAATTATTTGCTGAAGGCGAAGTGAACATTGGTGAATGTTCACCAAGACGAAGTTGAGGTGAATATTTACCAATGCTCACGGAGCCTGAAGCGAATAATTGTTTTAGTATCATTTTCAGAGATGAATATCAAGGACTACAAAATAACGGACTAAAACATAAAAACACCTAACATAATTCTTTGTTTGCATATGAAGCCGTAGTTTTAATACTAAGCTTACATGTACATCAATTGTGTATCAATTTACTCATCAAGTTCAGCGGTGAAAAAAAAAACAAAAAACGAGTGAAACACTATGAAAAATAAATTCATCCAGTACCTTTATTTTATCATTGTTAATTGACTTCATTCACGGTTGTCATCATTGTCTAAAAATGAGTAGCTTTAGTTTGAAGACAAGTAAATTTTGGTCAATCAATCTGACCTGCCTGCTGGCGATCAACATAACCACTGCATTTACGATTCTTAAATGCCTTGAACATGAGTCCTTGAAAAGATTTTTGGTCCAAGGGCAACAGCAGTCCTTTTGAAAATTCTTCATCCTTTCAAATATCCCGGACTTGGAGTGATGTCTTCTGAATAAATGAAAATTTCATTCACAACTATCTGCCATGTTTAATTACTGAGATGGCAAAGGTAGCAGGCTTAGTAACCAGGCCTAAAAAATATTATATTTACTGCCTAGTGCTGTGAATATAACGTCATATAAGGAATTACTCAACCAATCAGATTGCTGGAAACTCTTTGTTCAACTCTGAAATTATACTAATGAATTATATAGCGTTACATAACATCAATATCAAGTGCTTAAGATTCAATCATTGCCAGCACACTACACCATTTTTCACAGCACTATTTACTTAAGCAGTCAAAGTATTCTGTGAGGACTTGCCATAATAATTATTGACAAGTACTGTCCTGTACATGTAACTCTCAAGTATAGTAGATACTTCTGGTTTCAATCCAGACCAAGAACTGAAAATGTGAAAATTAACCAAGGACAACTCAATTTTTTTAGAGTTGACTGCATGTCTATTTTCAGGGTGTTGGTTTATCTGTCCATGGTCGATTCCGAGTTGCCACAGAGCGTACAGTATTTGCTATGCCAGAAACAGCAATAGGTATGATACAACTGTAAGTCAAAAGACCTCTAATGATACTAGCATAACAGGACAGTGTGTTGTATAGAAAGTTGGGTTATGGCTTTCTGTTGGAAAGGTCTATGGTTCAACTCTTGGTAAAGGTTATGAATGTGATCTAGATAACAGATGTGTCTGCCAACTTGCCAGCAAGTTACTTCTGACATAACTACCAATGCATTGGCTGACACACCACTAACATGTTGGCTGGTGCCTTGGTTGAATCAGGTGCAGTGTTCAGCAGTGTTCTGAAATGACTTTGATCTTGAATACTGTTTGTAAAAACCAACCTTACCTGCACCTCATTATTACCAGTACATTTGACCTGAGAGAGTGGTCACTGACACTCGGGTAGTTACTTTCTAACTACATGTACATGATCTCTTAAAATCTCTCTCTCCCCCCACCCGTGATAATATGGCCAGATTGAATACATATCAGTTGGCTGACAAAGATTGCATCATCCTTGCTTGACATATTTGGTAGTGAAGGAAAAGAGGAGGCCATTGCAGCTCAAGTTTTTTACCCAATCACAGAATTAGGGAAACGTCAAACAATGGCAGATGCCAAATTCATTCCCGCTCCTGTTACTAAAATAATTATAGATTTTAAAATAAGTCCTTTGGATTTAAAGAAGTTGTTAGATAAGTGTCAATATTGGAAGGCTAGTTTTCCCATGTATTCTGTTCTGAATAACAACTCTACCGTTTTCCAACTTTAAAAGGTCTCTTTCCTGATGTTGGTGGAGGGTATGTGCTACCCAGAATGAGAGGAAAGTTAGGTCTTTATCTTGCTTTAACAGGTGAGAACTATATTTTTTATTCCTTGTTCCATGGTAAATGATTTGAGCTAAAAAAATATTTTACTAGTGATTAATACCACTTTTCTTACTTAGAAACAACAAGAAGATCTTTAAGATCTTACAACC